AGAATTAGAAGAAAATATAAATCAATAGAAAAGATGTAGAAATGACACAGTTGATGGATAATCAGACAAAACTTTAAAACAAATATTATAAATATTTTTAAGAATTTAAAGTAAAACATGAATAAAAGGAGGAGGCAAATAAAAACTAGAAAATACCTAATGGGAAACTTTAACACTGAAAGTCACAGTATCAGAATAAAGAATTTCCTGGATAGAATTAATAAGTTAGATACAGGGCAATAAAAGTAAATTGGAAGACATGACAATGAAAATTATCTAAATTTAAGCAGAAAGAGAAAAAGACCAAAAATCAAAAGAATAATGAGCAAACGTCACTGGCCCCTGGGGCAGTACTAAGCAGCCTAACTTAGAAGTAACTGCAGTATCAGGAGAGAAGCTGAGAAGGGAGGACTGCAGAGTATTTGAAGACATAATGAGCACAAATTTTTTTATATTGGTTCAAAAGTATCCTTTTTGAACAGGATACTTTGGATACAAATCCAAGGTCAACAAACCCCAAGCAAGATAAGCAGAAAGAAGACCACACCAAGGCATATCATAACTAAACTGATGAAATCCCATGATAAACAGAACATCTTAAAGCAGTCCAAAAAAATGTTATATATAGGAGATTCTGCAATTTGGGCTGATCTAACCATTAAAACATATGCTGTAAGGACATGAAAACGTCAAAGTTATGTTGCTTAGTGAAAAAGCAGAGAAAAATAGCCATATTTCTATTATTGTTGAAAGAAGCATATATAGGAAAATACAGGAAAAAACACACATGTAAAAACATGAAACATGGTTATTTTTGGGTTGTGGGATTAGGGTGGTTTTATCTTTTATGTTTATCTGTATTTTACTTATTTTCTTTTCGAGCATGTGTTATAATTAGGAAGAAAACTTAGTTAAAATAAAAACTACCTCCAGTCATACCCCCACAATAAATTTTAAAATCTCTTAAACTAACTTAGTGATATATTTTAAAATTGTTCAGTGGAAATGGAAAAAGAGAGTCAAAGGACAGTGATAGGCTTAATAAGTTCTTGGCGACAGAGTAAAAACAGGGGTAGGCAGCTAGAGAAGGTGGATGAACAAATTTCTAAGTTTTCTAATTTGGGAGGCGTTTTGGACATGTCTTTAGCTAAGGAGATTACTGGAGGTTGGGTGTTGAAATATAATTATTTCAGATTTGAACATGTTGAATTTGAGGATGTCGCAGTATAGTCAATTAAAGGTATGCATTTTGAAATATGGGTCCAAGGTGTAGGAGACATTTAAAGCAGGGAGATACAAATTTGGGGTCTCGGGCACGTTGGTGATAGTTGAAAATGCCCTGGGAGAATATGCTGAATATAATGAATATCGGCCCAAGAATGGAACCACTAGATTCCATTGAAGGGGATCTTCACAAAGATTGAAGGGATGGACAGTAGCAGAGGACCCAGCAAAGACAGTGAAAAGAAGTCAGAGGTGAGAGGAAAACAGAAGAAAATGAGGTTATTGAAATAAAAGGGATGAAAATAGTTTCCAGGAAGGATTACTCAACCACGACAAAGTTCAAGGCAGAGAGGTACTCCATTTTGCCCTCTTTACAAGCTTACCTTCCGTGCTTTTGCATAGTCCATGACCAAAGACAGCTGTTCCAGTGCAAGGGGTGGACTCTCCTTACACTTGGGTGGCGGCACAGGGCTATACCACATGATGCTACTTTATTATGTGTGCTATTGAGGAAGAGAAATTTTTTTTCATGTCAAGATACATGACAGGCATGGTAACAGAATCACAAAGGAGAGCCATAGAAGTGACCTGTAGTATTCCATGAAATTAAAATATACTGTGATAAAAACTCACCAGCCACCATGGAAATGTCTGGTATTTTCTGGATAGATGGCATGGACTTAAAAGTGGTTGCTAGGGATTTAAATTTGCCCTATCTCACCAGTGGTTAGAAAAAGAAAACAGCAAGTGAAAGAGAGCTAGATAGACAAAGTACACCACTCATCAACTGCCCTTTCCTGAACTTTGCATTTAGAACAATAAATACAATTATTATATTTTAATATGAACTCAATATTTCAAAGGACTCATAAGCAATATAAAATCATATCTCAGAGCTCTTAAAAGGCACCAAGAAGGCCACATACTTCTTACTGTATTGAAACAGGTATTTTCTGCCACTTTCTGTAACTGCAGCCTAGGGAATGCCTGGAAGTATACAGAATTGGTGGCAGTGAACGCCAGAACACCGGCTACCCAGACATTCGCAGCTGGGGCAGGGCTTGCCAGATTTGGGAACCAGCCCAGGATCCCTCATCCTTCCATCTTTAAAAGTCGACACATACTTCCTCAAGAAAAATTTTGGAAAAATCATGCATTTGAAAAATGTCAATTTATATTTAATAGTTACGAAGTATAGCTGAAGAAATTCAGGTAATATGGGTAATAAAAAGCTTAAAGAGACTGAATGATGTCTATTCATCATCTACAAGACTTGAGAACAACTGCCTTGGATTTCTTTTTCATTACACTTTTTAGATTACTACCTTTCTACAAATTTGTTCTTTTCTTCTTTTGCTTTCCTTTTCCTATCCTCCATCTTACTTTAAAAGATCTAATAGATTTCAAGTTACAGCTTTGTTCTGTCATATGCAACCATTCTCAAACAGATGACTTTCCCATACATGATGAGAAAGAAGATGGAAAATTCTATCTTAAGAGTTCAAAAGCAGACGAATTCAGACAGAAAGTAGAACACAGCTCCCAGGGCCTCGTAACAGCAACAGAGAATGGGGAGTTACTGCTCAAAGGGTATAGATCTCCCCCTGCCAAGTTTTGGTTTGGAAATGATGAATAAGTTCTGTAAATGGATAGTGGTGATGATTGCACATTATAAATGTATTCAATGCCACTGAATTGTACACTTAAAAATGATTAAAATGGTAAACTTTTGTGTTTCATCATAATTAAAAATAAGAGAGAAAGAGAACAGATCCATCACCCTATCTCTTTCAGACATGACCAATTTATTCAGGGAATTCTGTTTGGCAAAATATATCTGGGGCAGAGAGTTTGGGATAATTATGTCATTGGAAGCAATCACATTTTCTATAATGAACTGGCCTAGGGTAGTATCTGAAGGCAAAACTTTTAATAACAATTTAGCATATGGGTGTAAATCATAATATAAATATTTGCAAAGAAAACAAAACGAGCTTATACAACGAGGGATGAACATGCTAATACTAGTAGCAACCCATCAGTCAATCTCGTTTAACACACTAAGCACCTGACTTGTGCGAGAAACTGGGCTAGGTGCCGGGGTTGAGGTGGAAATATAAAAATCAAAAGACGTGATCCCTATCCTTAAGAAGTTTACAATCTAGTAACAGCACATAAAAATAGTGCTGTGAGGTATAAAAAGTTTGCTCTAAAAACATGGAGGAGAGTTAATTTCCTAGTACAGGTTGAAATTGGGACACACTGGAATTTGGTGGTGTAGGGTGAGGCAGTTTATAACATGTCAAGCAAAGAAAATGGTGTCTAAGTATGTGTTGGCAATGGCAAATGGTCTAGTCTAGTTCTTCCACAGCTTCAAATATGTGAAAGGGGAAGGAGTATTCAAAGGTCCAGTATTTTTAATTTCTCTCATCACTGTTAGCCCGGTATAAAAAAGGGATTAACAGGAAGTGAGGATGACAAGAAAAAAAGTTTGAAGAGGCAGGGGCATAGACACGAAACGGAACCCCTGGTGCAAACACATCTAGTTAAGTTCACACCATAAACTAGTAAAACCAGTCCTAGCAATGCCACAGTTCATGGCAATCAATATATGGTCTCTCCTTTGGGACTGAAAAAGCTAGCTTGGGCTACTGCCCGTAGTGGACAACAGGGCAAAAGGAAAATAAAAGTCCATAAATGTCCCCTCCTATCACAACTTAAGTGAAGAAAGGTGGCTAGAGGAGATAATTTAGGGTGAGAGATGAAATCTCATGTAGGTTAATTGATCTAATGATAGCTCAGATGCTTTATTTCCTATCACAAAAAATACAGATGAGCAAGTTGTTCCTGAACAAAAATTTACTATGTGTATAACATACACCTCAAAATAAATTTTAACGGAACATACTACTAATCAGTTTTTGCTTTCACAATTTACACAAATAATGCTAATTATAATACTTTAGGGAACCTTTACAAACACAATACATAACAAGTTGTTTTAATATTATTCACCATCCTTAACTTCCGAAAGTTTGGCTTGTATTATCTGAAAGGAAAACTACTTATAAATCTCATTTTCCCACAAAATGAATTAACCACCCAAACTTAAAAATTAAAAATAAATAAAGCTTTGCCAATGGTAAATTGGATGCATATACCTGCCAAGCTTTAATGAAATAAACAATTTACATAACCAGCATCTCATAAAACCAAAACCTCCTTTTGAAGAACAAAGTTCAATTCTTTTTGCCCTCTCTCAGTAACTACTAATCAGAATTATAATTCTTTCCCCCTTAAGAACTGTTCTGGTTTGTGGTGTCACAAAATATAGTATTTTTAACATTCACAAACTATTAAATTGCCGTGAATAAATATCTATTTTTTTAGACCAAAATGATTCTAGGGGACTAGGAGAACAGATATAATATTATATTGAAACGATTTCTTTAAAAGTAAGATTTGTAAAAATGTGATCTAGGTCTAATATTAAAATTAAAAACCAAAAGATGAATTATCATTTCAGACCTATATACATCAAAGATGCCAGTTCTTATAAAAACATACTTTAGTTGTAAATGCTGTTATGAAAAAATAATTTTTATCAATTTTATTTAATTTTAATGAATTTCCCCTATCTCTAACATTAAAAACATTAAAAGAACTTAAATTTTAATGGCAAAAAGTTCCTATTTTCCCCATCTACTAAAAAAAGGTTTTGTTTTCCCTTATTAACATACAATGCCCTATTGTTAAGGCACAACTTTTTTAAATGATAAAAATGAAACCATAGTTTAGGTTTATTTTACACAACAGTTAAAAGACAGACTTTTTGTAGACATATAATTAAATACATCTTTAATTCAACCAAGATCGAAAATGAAAAATCACTGTTTCTATCTAGGACCAGTCAACACATAGCCAAGAAAGGTAGTTGCAGCTAGAATAATCCCAACACTTCCTGTTTTAACCTGTCAGATTGTCTCCAGAAGGCCATCTTCAAAGTGTGATCCAGGAGGGGAAGCTAAATATTTTCCTTTCTGTGGTGCACTCCACCTTTCTTTACTTATGCTCGGGCTTTCAGACGTAGCTGTCACCTTCAAAGCCTGAATGAAATCCAATGTTTGAGTTCAATATCAGAGACCAGGGCAGAGTTCTTGATCCTGAGGGTCAGGGCAGAAGTGTGCTTTGCATCTTCCCTGTTACCTTCCCCTCAGCTCCCCCGCATCTTCCTTCCCACATTCTTCTTAGCCACCACCTTGCCCCACCTCCTCTGCCACCATTTACAAAATACCCAAAGGGAGCACCCAGCAAACAGAAAGAATTTGTACAATTGTTACTTAAAACATATAAACCAAAATGCTCTTGTTACTTCCTTATAGTCAAAAACAAGTCATCTGAATATTATTGATTTAAAAATCAAGAAACACTAAAATTGGGGTAGGGAGGCAATCACATACCAAAGACAAATATGACCGTCTCAAAGGCCCTTGTACATTCAAATGCAATGGGGGATACAAGCAGGAAACCAGGAAAAGCAAATGTGCTCAAGCAGGCTTATCCACTCAGCTCTCTTGTATTTTCTATAAATACATTTACATTCTTGAGAGATGGGTTTCAGCAGCCAATCTAGAGAGAAATGTGTACATAAAAGCATCTGGGGAGGTATACTGGCTGAGAAGGAGAAGCAGAGATAGAAGGAAACATTAACAGGCAGGGGAGATGGTCACAGGGCAAAGGACATGGCCGGGAGACAGCTGATGGCCACTGAGATTATGGATGTCCCTACTTCTACTAAATATGACACATAAAACTCAATTTTAAGAGAAAATTATCCTTTAAATAAGGGCAAAGATGAAGAAAGAGAAGGCGAGGAGTTGGGGAGGTATAGATCACTAAAAATAAGCTATACTTATTTTGCTATAATTTAGAAATTTTGTATAATTCTGGGAAATATTATATGCCTCGTTCAGGTGTTTTACTGCTATGCTCTGGCACAATAATGTCTCATATAAATAAATATAAATACTGTTCCTTGTACTTATACTAGTTCTGCAATGTATATTGGCTTTTAGAAACAAAATTTTAAATAATGAACTTTCTATAAAAGCACTTAAAATTAGTAACTAGACTACACCTGACAAATTAGAAAAATAATATATTTAACTCTTGGCCAATATCTTAATTTTTACACACAATACACATTCTTCACAAAGTCGTTATCTATATATTCAGATTAATAAAATTAAACTAAAGGAATCATGCTTGCTAATATGGTTTTGTTTCCACAAAATCATACATTTTCCAAATAATATTGAAAAAATTCAATTAAATTCCATTTTCTACTTGCCAGCCCCATTTCTCTAACTCTTGACATGCTACAATTAAAACAAATGCTTATACCACAGGACTCTGGCAACAGCATATGCCTTTGCCATCTCTCCTGAGGAATAAAAGATTGCCTCATCTTATTGCAAAGTAAAAAAGATGAGGTTTCTAATATTATTTTCAAAATTCCCAAGTCCTGTTTAAATATCAAGTGTTCCAACTACCAAAACTTTGAAAACATTTTCACTGAACAAAAAGCCTATCTAATGAGACTGAGTACCTTACCAAGTTTGTGACCAGTTGCTAGAGATTGGGTGAAAATTTCTGTATCATACTAGATTCAGTTTACTAATGATGCATTTAAAGGCTCTGGACAATGTAACATACAAATCTAAAGTATGTGCATCCTACCATGCTAGAATGTGCATTCTTTGGTGAATTTTACCTCCAAGATAGGAAAATGAATGGGGTGGAGGGCTAGGGAGAGAGACAGAGAAAGAGAGAGAGGCAGAGACATCAAGACCATGAGAAACCTCTCTCTGTAGTGTGCTATGGAATACAAGGGCACTGAAGTCATATGAAATAATGTGATTGCTTACATGAAGTTTCCAGATATCACACAGAGAGAAACCACACATCCCAACAAAAGATAGTTCACAAAGCAAGATTCTAGTTATGGTGACACAATAAATATGTCACAACCTTTTTTCCAACCAGATTCTGAGGCTGAATACAAAAAATTTCATCAAAAAGTAATTTTAACCTTCATTATTTTAATCTGAAGGGAATATAGAGTATCTCAAAGTTACTACTTTAATAGTTTGGTATGGTTAGATACGTTTATTATTAATAATAGTAAAAGCAATCATGGCAAAATATGAGCAACCATACTCATTCTTGATGAGAAAATCTTCTACATACAAACCTAGCACATTTTAAAAAATTACCAAAACAAAGTTTTTGAAAATAATGAAAGCTAGTTCAATTCATATAATGTCAAGTAACTTTCAATTATAATAGAATCATTTATATTCTTATAGTTGTCTTATAGCATATTTTATCCCAAATGAAAAATGTACCAAAATCATAGTGCTAAACTTGAAACCTTAAACCAAACCTCACAAGTTAAAGACTAAAATGTTGGTGAGAAGAGAAAGGATGGAACCATGCTTCTTCTACAGGGAAAATGAAAATCAATAGCAAGATGGCAGAAATGTTGAACCACTGGGCACAAACACAATTTTTATAAAAACAAAATGCACACACACACATACATACAGAAATTATGAGTACAAGTAAACTTATATATTTTCTACTAGCTGGTGAAGCTATTATTAAATTTTCCAAAAAAAAAACCAATTTAAGTCTTTTCTATTTCAATACATAAAATATTCAGTAACATAAATACAATCTGTGTTGTACATTAATAAATGTGTGGCTTCTTGTGCTTTCCATCCAAACTAAAGGTAAAAATCCCTAATTACTTTATTTTCAATGAGATACAATTATAAAGTTAAACATTTACACAAAATCAATCCTTCCTTCAGCCCAATTCATATGAAAGTACTAATAGTGAAGATTCATGATGTTGTGTGAAAATGGTAACTCATAACAGTGTAGACTTGGCTATAGATTTTAATTCACAAATATATATATGCGCCTGTGTATGACAACTGTACGAAAATAGTCTCAAAAATAAAGACAATACTTGAGACACGAAGCAACCCATTTTCCCCCATTTTGTATCCTATTATAGGGAAAATAAGTCTCTGATGCTTCATAAATACTTTAAAAAGTTTGGAATGGCCTTAACCGTGCATAGTCTCCACCAATCCTTTGAAGCTTCCAGCATTTCAGGCTAACCATTTCAGCTCTGGAAGAGTGGCACCCTGTAATCAGTTACGCTTATTTATGTCCTGTCTTTTCTAGATCGGGGAGTTTTCTGACCAGAGCTTGGTGGTTCATTCCGATACTAGCGAGGAGTCCCCCTTCGATGCCGTCTGAACCAGTATAACTGATTTCTTCACCACTCAGAGTAGTCATATGTCCCCCCAGGGCTCTTAAGATGGCATTGCCAGCACATATATCCCACTTTTTGATGTATGTCACATGGATGTACAAATCAGCTTTTTCTTGACTCTTATCAGGCACATCCAAGAGTGCTAAAACTTTATAACCTATAAAAGATAAACACAGAGTTTAGGTTATTGTTCAAAAGCTTTTAAGAAAGTAGCATACTTTTTGATTAAGTGCATTGTTAAAAATAACAGGACAGGATGTGTGTTTGTTGTACTGTCTTTGCAACTACTTCCTAAGTTTAAAATTATTTCAAATTAAAAAAAAACAGTACAAACATTAAACTCAACAGAGCAAAACTACACTGCAAAGTAACTTATTAAGTTAGTCTCAAATGTTACCAATATATGCATATAAGTTTTTAAATTTAAATCTACTTTGTAGTTGTTTTCTATGAAAGGACACATTCAGTATATGCTATTTTTTTATGGAATGACATATGACACCTACAAGTTTCACATAAACATCTAGACAGGCTTGATTTGAAAGATGAGAACAAAAAGTTTAATACTACCACCCTAAGTCCTTTTTTGTAATGAAACAAAATGTAAAAAATAAAATAAAACAAATGCCGAACAAACTGGGACTAGAATCTAGTTTATCTCATCCCTACTGGGTATTTTGGACATACCTTTCCTAACCAACCTAACAGAGAGTCTATAAGAAAATAATGAAGCCACATTAAGGAAGGTAGATAAATATATGGAATCAGCAAATTAAAACTATTAGTCTTAAAAGTTAATAACTGTTAACATCTTCTTTTATTACTGTGCTGAAAAGGTTTTCCAACCCTTTCTAGAGCTCACTCTGTTGCCCAGGCTAGAGTGAGTGTTGTGGCATCAGCCTAACTCACAGCAACCTCAAACTCCTGGGCTCAAGCAATCCTGCTGCTCAGCCTCCAAGTAGCTGGGCTACAGGCATGTGCCACATGCCGGCTAATTTTTTCTATATATATTAGCTGCAATTAATTTCTTTCTATTTATTGTAGAGATGGGGTCTCGCTCTTGTTCAGGCTGGTTTTGAACTCCTGACCTTGAGCGATCTGCCCACCTCGGCATCCCAGAGTGCTAGGATTACAGGTGTGAGCCACCACACCCGGCCTCATAACTTGCTATTTACCTGAATTAAAACACTTCTGACATGTTAAACAGTATTTATAACAAGAGTCATCAAATAGCCTCTTGGGCCAAATTCAGGTCATGGCCTGTGACTGTAAGCTCTCAAGATAAAAATTTTTTTAAAAAATATTTTTTAAAGATGGTTAAAAAAAAAAATCAAAGAATACAATGGTATGCAATAGAGACTGTATGTGGCTCCTGAGGCCTGAAATACTATCTGTCTCTTTCAGAAAAACTGGGCTAACCTCTGATCTATAATTAGGTAATACAGTAGTGTAGAACAAACAGTAAGCTAGGTGGGCACTACTCTCATTCATCCTAGATATGCAAGTTGAAGAGTTCAGGGATGTTAAAAGTGACCCAGGGATTAGTCATTCCAATGATACCTATGATGACTCCTGGCATCCTTCTGTCATAGGAAGCATCCATCTTAAGTGCTTGGTTTTTCTTCCTGTCTCTGATATCCCCACAGTTAAACTAATAGGGAAATTATTTTGAAATCGCATTGTATAAAATGCAACCTCTGATGGTGTATCACTGATGGGAAGATTTTTTTGTAGTATTCAAGGAAGAGAAATCAATGTTGTGAGATTGTTTCTTTCTGCAAGGAGGCCAGTGTGACTGAAATCCCACCCAAGTAGGAGACCAAGCCTGCCTTGAGAGTATACTCCATTCCTTCTCACTTTTTTCCCTAGCATGGGACAAGCAAATCAGTCTTCCAACATAGCCTTGGCCATGTCAGTAACAGTCTCTGGGAATCACATGGAAATAGAAACATACCAGCACCACCAGCTGGGATAATTGTACTCTGGTTTCCAAAAGTCTGAAGAGCAACCTGTTTGACCATCCCTGAATGGGAGCGAGACACAACGATCTTTGGGGTCTTCTCATTGTAGGAAGGGCGGGCTTTCACATTTGAACCACCGTCTACCATCGCCCAAGCTGAAAAGCAAATATAACATCCATTAACAGAACTAAAGCTTTAAAACTAAAAGTTACTTATACTCTTCAGAATTCAAAGTACCAACTGACTAATGTCCTTTTCTAAAAAATTATTTGTATTTTTTTTCTAAAACAAAGTTTTATCTTTTTTCTGAGTACGACAGTAATATATTTTCTTTTTACATTAAAATAGATATGTATTAAGACAATGCTATAAAAGGCCATGTAATCCTGCCCAGTCTGAGATAATGGCTATTAAATGTGTGGCTTAAGGATTCCCATGCTCCAGAGCTCCCCACTGGGTGTTGGCTGAGTCTCTAGTGGGACCACATTGCAACTTCTCCTTGCATCTGCACAGCTTCCTTCCCTCCCTTCCATAACTTTAACCCCAAGAGCACTCGCTAATTAATAAACATCCTAAAGCTAATCTGCATCTCAAAGTGTGATTCCTAGGGAACACAACCTGTAACATAAGTGCAACTAACTTCCCTAATTCAAATTTTAAAATTCATTTTCCTCCTATATTACCTCTACTTCTGAGGTAATATATTCATGGTTTCAATTATTTGTACATTAGCTCAATCTCCTAAGTAACTTTATAAACAGAAAACAGTATTAGAGAGGTAAGTGAATCAGGTTTACACATCAGCTTTATCAGAGTGTATAAAAAGAGAAAGACTTAGATTTCAAAATAGAACAGAATTTTTAAAAAGGGGAGGGGATGTCAGAGATGGCTTCAGAAGTTCTCAGTTTATAAGTTTTCTTCACTGTCAAACTATACAAGAAAACAAACTTACTCAGTGTTATCCCAATTAGACTGTTGTTCTAGCAGTCACTCACTATGGGATAAAATATAGTCCACCATGGCTAGCAATGAAAGCAGCTGCATCACCAGCTTATTCCTGGCTGCAGAAAAAAAATCAAAAAAATTAGCAGAGTCTGGGTCTCTGAGTTCCCCAAAGATGATGGCAGTCTTCTAGACTTTTTGTATACCTTCTTGTAAAAACTGCACACAGCAACAAGGAGAGCAAATAGAAACACTCATGATCTATACAGAGTAAGTAGGAGACAGAGGAGAGCTATCAGCACTAATGTAGGAGAAAACAGGGGAGTAAACAATGGAGATCAGCAGAACAAGCTCTGAAGCTGACCCCAGTGTGAGGATTACAGCAGGAACTTCACAGAGGTGCCAAGAGGCCAGAAAACTCAGTGCTGGTAGAACTTAGAAAATATCAGCCAGGACTTCTCCCCAGAAGAAAAAGGTCCCATCTAAAATGGGAACTATTAAAAACAGACCTGAAACTTGTCAACAAGGCATCAAGAAGAGGTTTGGAGAAGACATGAAACCAGAAAGTTGTCTTGAGAACATCTGGAGGTGGGGGCAGACAAGCTGGGAATGATGACACAAGACATCTTTTGTTATTTAGAAGGCAGCAACTAGAGCTAAAGAGAAGTAAAGGACTGAAGATAGGGGTCTTACTGAAACAAAATAAGATCAAACAACAAAGAAGAAATCTAAAAAAAAAAAAAAAATGGCCCATGATAATAAAGATAAAGCCTTCCTTACACTAACAGAAAAGAAAGCTCCTGAACTCAACTCCTGAATTGTCGAACTCCCTTCCTGCCACCACTCTCCTATCAATACCTCAGTAGCTGGCCCAAATACAAAAGAAATATAAAACTGCAATGTCCATTTTAAAATATAAAAAGAAAACATATAGAATGTAGATTAAAACATTTCAGGCTACTTGAAAATTTCCACAATGCAGAGAAAAACTATGAACCAATATTCCAACATGATTAAAAATAAGTAAGCAACAAAATATGAAAGGAATGACATCAAACAAAAAGCAACTACTCAGAAAAGACAAACAATAGAAAGATGTGAAATGGGAACTCACGTAATACAGGAAAGAAACTGGGAAAAAAAAAAGACAAAATCACTGCAGACTTAGTACTAAATCATAGGATATATAATAAAAGGACTATAGATTTGTTCAAAAATATAGCAAACAATGAGAAAAAGAAGAAAATGTGAAACAAATAAATAGCTAAAAGGGTCCAAAGAGAAAGTGATAGATATGGAAACCAGTGAAAGAAGAATCAACATACATATATAAAGAATCCCTGAAAAAGAAAAACAAACTAATGGGATAGAATGAATCTTTAAAATTACGATTCAAGAAAATATCCCTGAAATAAAAGAGGACCTAATGTTTACAGTAAAAGACACGCTGAGTATCTAGGAAATCTGCCCAGAATGCCAACTCCGAGACACATCGTAGTTATATTTTTAGACTTAACAGACAAAGTTTGGTGGGTTGAACAGTGTCCTACCAAACTTCATGTCCACCCAGGACTTTCAGAATGTAAACTAAAATGAATTTTTAAGGCTCACCCCCAACCAGCTGACTAAATGGACCCCCTCATGGCCAAAGGAATATCCTAAAACTAAATTGCCTGCCAGGAGGAAAGAGGTCAGATATGCCTATCATGCTCCTTAGTTGGTAGCTGCCTATCTTGGCCTCTGTCTTCACATGACTATCTCCTGCCTTTCTCCTCTCCTCTTTTTCTCCTCTCCTCTTCTTATAAGAACACTAGTTATATCCTAAAACTATCCTAAATATCCTATCTATCTAAACTATCTATCCTAACTATCTAAATATCCTATCTATATTTAGGATATCCTAAATATCCTAAAACTAAATTGCCTGCCAGGAGGAAAGAGGTCAGACATGCCTATCATGCTCCCTTCCCTACTTGGGGACATCCTTTGTAACCCATTAACAGGCCTAAGGGTATGTAAGAGAAACCTGCAGTTCCTCAATTTACACAACAAATCTATGTCAGGTGGCTTATCTCTGATAGCAGCTCCTTATGTTAAAATATTTCAAGCCTTTAGACAAAGCTTCATGTCTTTAATCAATTACAAGCCAAAGAATCTTCAAACTCACCTATAATCTGTAAGGCTCCTACCCCAGCTTCGAGATGTCCCACTTTTTTGGCCCAAACCAATGTATGCCTCCCATGTATTGATTTATGACTTTACCTGTAACCCCTGTCTCCCTGAAATGTATAAAACCAAACTGTAACTTAACTACATCGAGTCTACTAGCTCAGGGCCTCTTGGCAGTGGCTCCGGGTCATGGTCCTCAAATTTGGCTCAGAATAAATCTCTTTAAAATTATTTTACAGAGTTTGGCTTTTTTCCATTGACAAGAATGTGACCTTATTTGGAAATAGGGTCTTCACAGGTGTAATTAGTTAAGCTGCAGTCATACTGGAAGAGGGTAGGCTCTAAATCTAATAACTAGTGTTCTTATAAGAAGAGGAGAGGAGAAAAAGAGGAGAAGAGAAAGACAGGAGATAGACATGCGAAAACAGAGGCCAAGATAGGCAGCTACCAACTAAGGAATGTAAAGAGCCACCAGAATCTGGAAGAGGAAAGGAAGGTTTCTTCCCACAAGCCTGCAGAGAGGCCTTGATATCACACTTCTGACCTCTAGAATTTTGAAAGAGTAAGTTTCTATTGTTTTAAGCTACCTAGTTTGTAGTAATTTGTTATGGCAGCCCTAGGAAACTAATATAGGGTGAACCAAAGACTGCATAACTAGCCAAGTAGTTTTTCAAGTATCAAGGCTATAAAAAAACTTTTTAACATGTACTTAGGTAATACCACACCCATGATCTACCTCTTCTGAAGTAATCTATCAGGGGGTAAGCTTTATTCAACCAAGAGATGACTAAGGAACCCTTAGCAAAGCACTGTTGGTTAGTTAGCACTGAACAAATTTAACTGTGGATCTAAGAGGAAACCAAAGATGCAAATAAAGGGGAAGAATATAGATGTGTAAATGTTATCTCACTGTTGACTGATGACAGTTAAAAGAAATCATTTAAATTTGATGAGCTGAATAGGCCAGTTAAAATATAAGCATCAAAAAATGAGATGGTGGTCAAGAAGAAGGCTAAGATATGCTAATTGAATTGTTGCTTACAGCAGTGAACCTAGAGACAGGTCTAAAGAAAACAACTATATAACAGTGTGTGTGTGTGTGTGTGTGTGTGTATATATATATATATATATATATTAGTGTATATATATATTAGTAAAAGTGAGCAAAAAACCCCAAATTTAACTTAAAAGTAACTGTAGTTGTTTGTGTGAAAAGAAAATCAAAATCTCAGGGCCACCCTCGCACTTCCAACTCCTTATACAAAAGAAAAGGAAAAGCCTCAGGCACCTGTGAGATCATTCATAAATGGCCCTATAGATCATTCATAAATTTCCTGCTAACTTCCCATAAGGAAAGACATGCAAATTATACCTATATCTTGCAACTAAAACTAAAGCCTGTCTGATCCCACACTGGTAACAGATTACAGATTTATCTTACAGGCAACAAAACTGAAGAAAATAAGATAGAATCAGACATTCTTTCACCTACCCAGGGACATCTACATAATTGATGCTTCCTTCACTCCCTTATTTTACGTATCTATAGATTTCTTGGGCCTCATAAACAAGGCACAAGAATGTAGTAACCACTATCTCATGGGGAGAGGGCTTCTTTTTCCTTCTCTCCGTAAACCTTTTAAATAAGGAAGGTTCCAACTTTTCCTTTGGAAAAACAGCCACAGCTTGTCTGTGGTTGACTTTTTCCCAGGTACATACTTAATCTCTTGGCTTAATAAACCTCTATTGATTGAGATTTTTGTCTTAGTCATTTATTTGGGTTGACATTTGAATCACACTGAATATATAAAATCCATGAGATCATAAGGATAGTTTAAAAAGTCTGTCCTTCCCTGAAAACACATTTGTTCCCACTGTAGGTGGTTTGTACCTAACTCCTTACTCTGAAAATTGGTAAATAAAAGAATTAAACATTTATCCTGCCTTTCTAGAAGAAACTACATTTCAGGATAAAAACTTCAGTTGATAAAGTTCTCTATAGAAGAATTCATGCTAATATATGTAGAAAACACAACAAAATTAG